CCATGTGCCGCCATGTGTTTCGAGTGTGCCATGTGCGCCATGTGTTTCGAGTGTGCCATGTGCTGCCCGATGTGTTGTCGAGTGTGCCATGTGCTTCGAGTGTGCCATGTGCTTCGGAGTGTGCCATGTGCTTCGAGTGTGCCATGTGCTTTCGAGCGTGCCATGTGCTTCGAGCATGCCATGTGCTTCGAGCGTGCCATGTGCATCGAGTGTGCCATGTGCTTCGAGCGTGCCATGTGCTTCGAGCGTGCCATGTGCTTCGAGCGTTGCCATGTGCTTCGAGTGTGCCATGTGCTTCGAGTATGCCATGTTCTTCGAGTGTGCCGAGTGCGCCATGTGTTTCGAGTGTGCCCATGTGCTTCGAGTGTGCCATGTGCTTCGTGGGTGCCATGTGCTTCGAGCGTGCCATGTGCTTCGAGTGTGCCATGTGCTTCGAGTGTGCCATGTGCGCCATGTGTTTCGAGTGTGCCATGTGTGCCATGTGTTTCGAGTGGTGCCATGTGTTTCGAGTGTGCCATGTGCTTCGTGTGTGCCATGTGTTTCGAGTGTGCCATGTGTTTCGAGTGTGCCATGTGCTTCGAGTGTGCCATGTGCTTCGAGCGTGCCATGTGCTTCGAGCGTGCCATGTGCTTCGAGCGTGCCATGTGCTTCGAGCGTGCCATGTGCTTCGAGCGTGCCATGTGCTTCGAGCGTGCCATGTGCTTCGAGCGTGCAATGTGCTTCGAGCGTGCCATGTGCTTCGAGCGTGCCATGTGCTTCGAGTGTGCCATGTGCTTCGAGTATGCCATGTGCTTCGAGTGTGCCATGTGCGCCATGTGTTTCGAGTGTGCCGTGTGCTTCGAGTGTGCCATGTGCTTCGCGGGTGCCATGTGCGCCATGTGTTTCGAGTGTGCCATGTGCGCCATGTGTTTCGAGTGTGCCATGTGTTTCGAGTGTGCCATGTGCTTCAGGTGTGCCATGTGCTTCAACTGTGCCCTGTGCTTCGAGTGTGCCATGTGCTTCAGGTGTGCCATGTGCTTCAACTGTGCCCTGTGCTTCGAGTGTGCCATGTGCTTCGAGGGTGCCATGTGCTTCGAGCGTGCCATGTGCGTCGAGCGTGCCATGTGCTTCGAGCGTGCCATGTGCTTCGAGCGTGCCATGTGCTTCGAGCGTGCCATGTGCTTCGAGTGTGCCATGTGCTTCGAGTGTGCCATGTGCTTCGAGCGTGCCTTGTGCTTCGAGCGTGCCATGTGCTTCGAGCATGCCATGTGCTTCTAGTGTGCCATGTGCTTCGAGTGTGGTATGTGTTTCGAGTGTGCCATGTGCTTCGAGTGTGCCATGTGCTTAGCGGGTGCCATGTGCTTCTAGCGTGCCATGTGCTTCGAGTGTGCCATGTGCGCCATGTGTTTCGAGCGCGCCATGTGCTTCGAGTGTGCCATGTGCTTCGAGTGTGCCATGTGCTTCGAGTGTGCCATGTGCTTCGAGTGTGCCATGTGCTTCGAGTGTGCCATGTGCTTCGAGCGTGCCATGTGCTCCGAGCGTGCCATATGCTTCGAGCGTGCCATGTGCTTGGAGCGTGCCATGTGCTTCCAGCGTGCATGTGCTTCGAGCGTGCCATGTGCTTCAAGCGTGCCATGTGCTTCGAGTGTGCCATGTGCTTCGAGTTTGCCTTGTGCTACGAGTGTGCCATGTGCTTAGCGGGTGCCATTTGCTTCGAGCGTGCCATGTGCTTCAAGCGTGCCGTGTGCTTCGAGTGTGCCATGTGCTTCGAGTGTGCCATGTGCGCCATGTGTTTCGAGTGTGCCATGTGCGCCATGTGTTTCGAGTGTGCCATGTGCTTCGAGTGTGCCATGTGCTTCGAGTGTGCCATGTGCTTCGAGTGTGCCATGTGCTTCGAGGGTGCCATGTGCTTCGAGCATGCCATGTGCTTCGAGCGTGCCATGTGCATCGAGTGTGCCATGTGCTTCGAGCGTGCCATGTGCTTCGAGCGTGCCATGTGCTTCGAGCGTGCCATGTGCTTCGAGTGTGCCATGTGCTTCGAGTATGCCATGTGCTTCGAGTGTGCCGAGTGCGCCATGTGTTTCGAGTGTGCCATGTGCTTCGAGTGTGCCATGTGCTTCGTGGGTGCCATGTGCTTCGAGCGTGCCATGTGCTTCGAGTGTGCCATGTGCTTCGAGTGTGCCATGTGCGCCATGTGTTTCGAGTGTGCCATGTGTGCCATGTGTTTCGAGTGTGCCATGTGTTTCGAGTGTGCCATGTGCTTCGTGTGTGCCATGTGTTTCGAGTGTGCCATGTGTTTCGAGTGTGCCATGTGCTTCGAGTGTGCCATGTGCTTCGAGCGTGCCATGTGCTTCGAGCGTGCCATGTGCTTCGAGCGTGCCATGTGCTTCGAGCGTGCCATGTGCTTCGAGCGTGCCATGTGCTTCGAGCGTGCCATGTGCTTCGAGCGTGCCATGTGCTTCGAGCGTGCCATGTGCTTCGAGTGTGCCATGTGCTTCGAGTGTGCCATGTGCTTCGAGTATGCCATGTGCTTCGAGTGTGCCATGTGCGCCATGTGTTTCGAGTGTGCCGTGTGCTTCGAGTGTGCCATGTGCTTCGCGGGTGCCATGTGCGCCATGTGTTTCGAGTGTGCCTTGTGTTTCGAGTGTGCCATGTGGTTCGAGTGTGCCATGTGCTTCGAGTGTGCCATGTGTTTCGAGTGTGCCATGTGCTTCGAGGGTGCCATGTGCTTCGAGGGTGCCATGTGCTTTGAGTGTGCCATGTGCTTCGAGTGTGCCATGTGCTTCGAGTGTGCCATGTGCGCCATGTGTTTCGAGTGTGCCGTGTGCTTCGAGTGTGCCATGTGCTTCGCGGGTGCCATGTGCGCCATGTGTTTCGAGTGTGCCTTGTGTTTCGAGTGTGCCATGTGGTTCGAGTGTGCCATGTGCTTCGAGTGTGCCATGTGTTTCGAGTGTGCCATGTGCTTCGAGGGTGCCATGTGCTTCGAGGGTGCCATGTGCTTTGAGTGTGCCATGTGCTTCGAGTGTGCCATGTGCTTCGAGTGTGCCATGTGCTTCAAGTGTGCCATGTGCTTCGAGTGTGCCATGTGCTTCGAGCGTGCCATGTGCTTCGAGCGTGCCATGTGCTTCGAGCGTGCCATGTGCTTCGAGTGTGCCATGTGCTTCGAGTATGCCATGTGCTTCGAGTGTGCCATGTGCGCCATGTGTTTCGAGTGTGCCGTGTGCTTCGAGTGTGCCATGTGCTTCGCGGGTGCCATGTGCGCCATGTGTTTCGAGTGTGCCATGTGCGCCATGTGTTTTGAGTGTGCCATGTGTTTCGAGTGTGCCATGTGCTTCGAGTGTGCCATGTGCTTCAGGTGTGCCATGTGCTTCAACTGTGCCCTGTGCTTCGAGTGTGCCATGTGCTTCGAGGGTGCCATGTGCTTCGAGCGTGCCATGTGCGTCGAGCGTGCCATGTGCTTCGAGCGTGCCATGTGCTTCGAGCGTGGCATGTGCTTCGAGCGTGCCATGTGCTTCGAGTGTGCCATGTGCTTCGAGTGTGCCATGTGCTTCGAGCGTGCCTTGTGCTTCGAGCGTGCCATGTGCTTCGAGCGTGCCATGTGCTTCTAGTGTGCCATGTGCTTCGAGTGTGGTATGTGTTTCGAGTGTGCCATGTGCTTCGAGTGTGCCATGTGCTTAGCGGGTGCCATGTGCTTCTAGCGTGCCATGTGCTTCGAGTGTGCCATGTGCGCCATGTGTTTCGAGCGCGCCATGTGCTTCGAGTGTGCCATGTGCTTCGAGTGTGCCATGTGCTTCGAGTGTGCCATGTGCTTCGAGTGTGCCATGTGCTTCGAGTGTGCCATGTGCTTCGAGCGTGCCATGTGCTCCGAGCGTGCCATGTGCTCCGAGCGTGCCATATGCTTCGAGCGTGCCATGTGCTTGGAGCGTGCCATGTGCTTCCAGCGTGCATGTGCTTCGAGCGTGCCATGTGCTTCAAGCGTGCCATGTGCTTCGAGTGTGCCATGTGCTTCGAGTTTGCCATGTGCTTCGAGTGTGCCATGTGCTTAGCGGGTGCCATTTGCTTCGAGCGTGCCATGTGCTTCGAGCGTGCGGTGTGCTTCGAGTGTGCCATGTGCTTCGAGTGTGCCATGTGCGCCATGTGTTTCGAGTGTGCCATGTGCGCCATGTGTTTCGAGTGTGCCATGTGCTTCGAGTGTGCCATGTGCTTCGAGTGTGCCATGTGCTTCGAGTGTGCCATGTGCTTCGAGGGTGCCATGTGCTTCGAGCATGCCATGTGCTTCGAGCGTGCCATGTGCATCGAGTGTGCCATGTGCTTCGAGCGTGCCATGTGCTTCGAGCGTGCCATGTGCTTCGAGCGTGCCATGTGCTTCGAGTGTGCCATGTGCTTCGAGTATGCCATGTGCTTCGAGTGTGCCGAGTGCGCCATGTGTTTCGAGTGTGCCATGTGCTTCGAGTGTGCCATGTGCTTCGTGGGTGCCATGTGCTTCGAGCGTGCCATGTGCTTCGAGTGTGCCATGTGCTTCGAGTGTGCCATGTGCGCCATGTGTTTCGAGTGTGCCATGTGTGCCATGTGTTTCGAGTGTGCCATGTGTTTCGAGTGTGCCATGTGCTTCGTGTGTGCCATGTGTTTCGAGTGTGCCATGTGTTTCGAGTGTGCCATGTGCTTCGAGTGTGCCATGTGCTTCGAGCGTGCCATGTGCTTCGAGCGTGCCATGTGCTTCGAGCGTGCCATGTGCTTCGAGCGTGCCATGTGCTTCGAGCGTGCCATGTGCTTCGAGCGTGCCATGTGCTTCGAGCGTGCCATGTGCTTCGAGCGTGCCATGTGCTTCGAGCGTGCCATGTGCTTCGAGTGTGCCATGTGCTTCGAGTGTGCCATGTGCTTCGAGTATGCCATGTGCTTCGAGTGTGCCATGTGCGCCATGTGTTTCGAGTGTGCCGTGTGCTTCGAGTGTGCCATGTGCTTCGCGGGTGCCATGTGCGCCATGTGTTTCGAGTGTGCCTTGTGTTTCGAGTGTGCCATGTGGTTCGAGTGTGCCATGTGCTTCGAGTGTGCCATGTGTTTCGAGTGTGCCATGTGCTTCGAGGGTGCCATGTGCTTCGAGGGTGCCATGTGCTTTGAGTGTGCCATGTGCTTCGAGTGTGCCATGTGCTTCGAGTGTGCCATGTGCGCCATGTGTTTCGAGTGTGCCGTGTGCTTCGAGTGTGCCATGTGCTTCGCGGGTGCCATGTGCGCCATGTGTTTCGAGTGTGCCTTGTGTTTCGAGTGTGCCATGTGGTTCGAGTGTGCCATGTGCTTCGAGTGTGCCATGTGTTTCGAGTGTGCCATGTGCTTCGAGGGTGCCATGTGCTTCGAGGGTGCCATGTGCTTTGAGTGTGCCATGTGCTTCGAGTGTGCCATGTGCTTCGAGTGTGCCATGTGCGCCATGTGTTTCGAGTGTGCCGTGTGCTTCGAGTGTGCCATGTGCTTCGCGGGTGCCATGTGCGCCATGTGTTTCGAGTGTGCCTTGTGTTTCGAGTGTGCCATGTGGTTCGAGTGTGCCATGTGCTTCGAGTGTGCCATGTGTTTCGAGTGTGCCATGTGCTTCGAGGGTGCCATGTGCTTCGAGGGTGCCATGTGCTTTGAGTGTGCCATGTGCTTCGAGTGTGCCATGTGCTTCGAGTGTGCCATGTGCTTCAAGTGTGCCATGTGCTTCGAGTGTGCCATGTGCTTCGAGGGTGCCATGTGCTTGGAGGATGCCATGTTCTTCGAGCGTGCCATGTGCTTCGAGCGTGGCATGTGCTTCGAGCGTGCCATGTGCTTCGAGCGTGCAATGTGCTTCGAGCATGCCATGTGCTTCGAGCGTGCCATGTGCTTCAAGCGTGCCATGTGCTTCGAGCGTGCCATGTTCTTCGAGTGTGCCATGTGCTTCGAGTGTGCCATGTGCTTTGCGGGTGCCATGTGCTTCGAGCGTGCCATGTGCTTCGAGCGTGAAATGTTCTTCGAGTGTGCCATGTGCGCCATGTGTTTCGAGTGTGCCATGCGCGCCATGTGTTTCGAGTGTGCCATGTGTTTCGAGTTTGCGATCTGCTTCAAGTGTGCCATGTGCTTCGAGCGTGCCATGTGCTTCGAGCGTGCCATGTGCTTCGAGAGTGCCATGTGCTTCGAGTGTGCCATGTGCTACGAGTGTGCCATGTGCTTCGAGTGTGCCATGTGTTTCGAGTGGGCCATGTGCGCCATGTGTTATGAGTGTGCCATGTGCGTTATGTGTTTCGAGTGTGCCATGTGCTTCGAGTGTGCCGTGTTCTTTGAGCGTGCCATGTGCTTCGAGTGTGCTGTGTGCTTCGAGTGTGCCGTGTGCTTCGAGTGTGCCGTGTGCTTCGAGTATGCCATGTGCTTTGAGTGTGCCGTGTGCTTCGAGTGTGCCGTGTGCCTCGAGTGTGCCGTGTGCTTCGAGTGTGCCGTGTGCCTCGAGTGTGCCTTGTGCTTCGAGTGTGCCGTGTGCTTCGAGTGTGCCGTGTGCCTCGAGTGTGCCGTGTGCTTCGAGTGTGCCGTGTGCCTCGAGTGTGCCGTGTGCTTCGAGTGTGCCGTGTGCTTCGAGCGTGCCGTGTGCTTCGAGTGTGCCGTGTGCTTCGAGCGTGCCATGTGCTTCGAGCGCTCCATATGCTTCGAGTGTGCCATGTGCTTCGAGTGTTCCATGTGCTTCGTGCGTGCCATGTGCTTCGAGTGTGCCATGTGCTTCAAGGGTGCCATGTGCTTCGAGTGTGCGTTGTGCTTCGAGTCTGCCATGTGCTTCGAGTGTGCCATGTGCTTCAAGTGTGCCGTGTGCTTCGAGTGTGCCATGTGTTTCGAGGGTGCCATGTTCTTGGAGCGTGCCATGTGCTTCGAGCGTGCCATGTGCTTTGAGCGTGCCATGTGCTTCGAGAGTGCCATGTGCTTCGAGTGTGCCATGTGCTTCGAGTATGCCATGTGCTTCGTGCATGCCATGTGCTTCGAGCGTGCAATGTGCTTCGAGCGTGCCATGTGCTTCGAGCGTGCCATGTGCTTCGAGCGTGCCATGTGCTTCGAGCGTGCCATGTGCTTCGAGTGTGCCATGTGCTTCGAGAGTGCCATGTGCTTCGAGTGTGCCATGTGCTACGAGTGTGCCATGTGCTTCGAGCGTGCCATGTGTTTCGAGTGGGCCATGTGCGCCATGTGTTTCGAGTGTGCCATGTGCGTTATGTGTTTCGAGTGTGCCATGTGCTTCGAGTGTGCCGTGTTCTTTGAGCGTGCCATGTGCTTCGAGTGTGCTGTGTGCTTCGAGTGTGCCGTGTGCTTCGAATGTGCCGTGTGCTTCGAGTATGCCATGTGCTTTGAGTGTGCCGTGTGCTTCGAGTGTGCCGTGTGCCTCGAGTGTGCCGTGTGCTTCGAGTGTGCCGTGTGCCTCGAGTGTGCCGTGTGCTTCGAGTGTGCCGTGTGCTTCGAGTGTGCCGTGTGCCTCGAGTGTGCCGTGTGCTTCGAGTGTGCCGTGTGCCTCGAGTGTGCCGTGTGCTTCGAGTGTACCGTGTGCTTCGAGCGTGCCGTGTGCTTCGAGTGTGCCGTGTGCTTTGAGTGTGCCGTGTGCTTCGAGTGTGCCGTGTGCTTCGAGTGTGCCGTGTGCCTCGAGTGTGCCGTGTGCTTCGAGTGTGCCGTGTGCTTCGAGTGTGCCCTGTGCCTCGAGTGTGCCGTGTGCTTCGAGTGTGCGGTGTGCTTTGAGTGTGCCGTGTGCTTCGAGTGTGCCGTGTGCTTCGAGTGTGCCGTGTGCCTCGAGTGTGCCGTGTGCTTCGAGTGTTCCGTGTGCTTCGAGTGTTCCGTGTGCTTCATGGCGGGTGGAAATGACATGCGGCAGTTTGGGGTTTGCGTAATTGATGGGGAGGTGTTTGTGTGAGGAGCTTGGTGCACATTAGAGGAAGGGTTGGGAATTCTAGATGGGATGGAGTCCAGTGGGGTAGAGAGAGGGGAGTTGGGTGGAGGTTCAAATTTGTTATGGGTGGTGGTGGGCGGTGGGCGAGTGGGATTTCTGAATGGGATGTGGTGGTGTGTGGTTGAAGGGATTTAGGGGGTTGGACTGAAATTTCGACCCCCAAAGTCAATTGGTTGGAACTCCAACCAATTTCCACCACTTCAACCGCGCTAACCTCCCCTGCATGGGGTTGAGCATAAACCCGACCCGACCCGACCTGACCCGACTTTGCCCTACCCGATGTCGGGTCGGGTCGGGTCAAGTCAGGTCGCAGTTCAGGAAATGTCAACCCGACCTGGGTTTAATAGGTCGGGTACTACCTGACCCGATTTCGGGTCGGGTCGGGTCAGGTTGGCATAGGGGCAGGGACGGGTAATAAGCCGACCCGACGGGTCTGGTTTAGTCGGTCAGGTCGGGTCGGGTCGGGTACCCGAGGGTCAGGTCAACCCTCCGCGGATGTCGACCCGACCCGTCAAAAAGTCGGGTTCGGGTCGGGTTACCTGACCCGACCCAACCCGTTGCTCAAGCCTGCATCTACAGAATCCAACCCGCACCCCTCTAACACGCTCCACATGAGCTCCACATGAGACAGGCACCACTTTTCCCCATCTCCCGTCATTTTCACTTACCTAACTCCGCGCGAGCCGCCATGGCCTCGCCATGTGGTGTGGGGAAACATGTTTTCAAGCAGAAAACAGTGGCCCTTGGTGTGACGTGATATTATATCGCATCGCGCGATATATCGCGTTTTAGGGTGCGATATTTTTCAATATCGCACCCTAAAACGCGATATGCGATTTTGGTTTTTTTTTTTTTTTTTTTACATATCGCAGCGATGCGATATCGCATCGCTGCGATATACTGCGCGATAAGACAGAATGTGATGCAATATCACATTGCATCGCATTTTGACCATGTCTACTCGTGGGTACCCAGAGGAATTTTTTATTCCGGTGTTCTAGTCAGTTTCTTTTGCTAGCCATGGAGAATTTCTCCAGCGCGCCTCTACTACTCGCATCTCTTCTGACCGCGGCCCCCTGGTGCTGAAACTCTTGCTCAACCCGCTGGTTGACCGTTCGCGCCTGGGGAACAATTTGAGTCGACTCAAAAGTCATCTCGTTACAATGTCACATGGGTCATTTCATTCAAGAAGCGCTATAATTGTGTGGAGGCTTCCGAAGCGAGTTGGGAATATTTTTATTTCTGCTCATAAGAGTTAGACTACAGTAGGTTTTAGTTTACTGTTTCTATTTCTAGTTTGCTTCGTTACAACCCTTGCGACCCCGTGGAGGAATGCCTTGTGGGAGTCCTTAGGATCGGTATATAGCTAGCTTGCTTGCTCTCCTTTTCCTTTGTGGTTGAGTGCCGAAACCGGTTACCAATTTTTTTTAAAAAAAAATACACAAAGGTTTTTGCAAGCATCTACCCTCTATTTTCTATATTCACAGTCGCTGCCACATAAAGTCATGGCGCCGAAATGGTGCTCCCTCGTGACGTGGATAGCACGGCGGCTCTTCTCACCTGTCTTTCCTTGCCCCTGTCGTCCGTGTTGGTGTCCCACTGTGTGCACACTGCACATGGCACGCTCGTTGCACACATGGCACCACCATACCCCACTGTGTGCACATGGCACGCTCCGTGCCACATGGCACCACCATACCCCACTGTGTGCTCGTGTGCCATGGCAGGCCCACATGAACAGTGACCATGAGGACGCCATCAGAGCCATGGTGCATGGGGCACTGCAGGTGGAGGTGAGGCAAGGCAGTACGGGTGGAGTGGAGGTGAGGTGAGGCAGTGCAGGTGGCGGTGAGTGGGGCTGTGCCTGGGTGGGTGGGGCGCACAACGCTGGATGATGCCACCTGCACCACTTGTGAGCATGTTGCTGCGTATATTGTTGCATGCTGTGATTCGCTCATGGCTGCACGGATGGCCTTGCCTGCTGACACCACTTGGAATAGCTAGGATGTGTGTTCTGCTGTTGATGCAAATTTACGTTTTTTTACATTCTGCTTGATACAGCTTACGTTGATGCATTCTGCTTGATACAGCTTACGTTGAGCATCACTGCTGGTTCAAGTGTCAACTATGTGTGTCAATTGTCCTTCGCGCTATGCTGTGTCAACTGTCCCTCCCTTGCACTATGCTGTGTCAACTCTCCCTCCCTTGCACTATGCTGTGTCAACTCTCCCTCCCTCGCACTATGCTGTGTCAACTCTCCCTCCCTCGCACTATGCTGTGTCAACTCTCCCTCCCTCGCACTATGCTGTGTCGACTCTCCCTCCCGCTCACTATGCTGTGTCAACTGTCCCTCCCGCTCACTATGCTGTGTGAGCTGTGCCTGTGACCATGTGGTGCGTTGGCATGCGAGCATCAGGTGCCGTCAGCGAAGATCCTTTACGTGGACCGATTCGGATTCCTGGTGGAGGTCAGTCGCCGTCTCTCACACCCTTGCACTTCTTGCCACAATTGCTAGCGCCCGCACTTCAATCTGGATATTGCCATTCCACACAAGCCTCGCTTGTTGAGTAATGTCCTCGCGTTCCATTCCATTCGCTCTCTCCTCCCCATGGCCCCCTCTCTCCCGCCTCATTCCTCCTTATGCTACCATTCCCAGCATCCCAGCATCCCAGCATCCCAGCATCCCAGCATCCCAGCATCCCAGCATCCCAGCATCCCAGCATCCCAGCATCCCAGCATCCCAGCATCCCAGCATCCCACCATCCCACCATCCCACCATCCCACCATCCCCACCACCAGACGCCTCTCAAGGGCCAGCTGTCTCGAGTGCGCCTGCCCTTCCCCCGCCCTGCCTCGAGCAGAAAGTGAGAGGCGTTGGGGCAAGTAAGAGAATCGAGACAAGGGAGGGATGAGAGGTCTGAAAGTGGGTAGAGCTGGGGGAGTGGCTGACGTGCTTCACAACGCACTCATTCTACTCACAACTCTCCCTGCCAGTGCTAGTACTACTGCTGTGTTTGTCCTGTCGCTGTGCTAGCACATGCCCTTGCTCTGGTGTATGGCACGCCATGGCCTCATATACTTCCTGCCCTCCCCGTACCACCTGCAGGGATGTGAAGGACCTAATCGTGGAAATGACCAGACAGGCCCAGGGTAATTCTGGACCGAAATAAGCGGTACCCCCTCGTGCCGCGGAAGATAGGTGGGTAGCAGACCAGTATCGTTTCCTTTCTTCTACAGCCAAGCCAATGAATGGCATACGGTACAAATGGAAGCATGTGTGATTTTCGTTGGGCAATCTTGTTATGCTGCCACTGCATTTGCCTACACACATTTCTTTCACTTATTATCAGGGCCCCTGACAGCAGACGAATTCGGTCTGATCGTCTGATAATCAGACTTGATTTTTTAGGTTCATCTGATTTTCAAGACCACTTTATTAATTCCGTCTGAAAGACACTTGATTTTTTAGGTTCATCTGACAGACGTTTTTACTTCGTCTGAAAAATCAGACTGCGTGAAATGTTTCGTTCGTCTGAGTTTTCAGACGAGTACATTTTCGTCTGAAACAAACAAATGTGCCCACTAGGCCACAAGGCAGCTTGTCTGCCAGATTCGGTCATTCCCTGTGCCATGCGTACCGTAATCCCCCGTTTAAAACACCCGCCGGAATTAAGCTCCCCCGGGTAGCTTGAGCGGGTATGGGTGTTTAATTTTTCTGGATATACACAACTCTCAAAGAAGCTTAGGATAGGAACTAAACTTAGGAACCTAGCTTAGCTAGGAAGGAAGGAAGGACGCCATGGAATGGCGTGAGGCAAGTAGATCTAGGAGTAGGAGAAAAGTTGACGAGAAAGAAGGGTTGGACTAGGAAGAGAGAGAGGTACAAGGAGGGGATTGTACCCTCTACAGAAAGGTTCAGTAACACTACCAAGCCTATCAATTATATAACTCAATATAATTTTAACACACTCCCTAGGCTTGGTAGTCACAAGCCCACACACACCCCCACACCCCCTAACCTAGCACCCCCAGTCCCATCAGCCACAATGCTCCCAGCAGGGCCCAAAAGGCCGTGGAGATGGCGACGGCGGCAGTCCCGACCGCGGCGACAGCGACGGCGACGACGGGCGTGCGGCGGCAAACGGCCTGCGGCGACGGCAGCGGCGACGGCGACGGCTTCGGCTTACGGCGGCGGTGAGTGCAGCGGCCCCCGCCCTTCCGGCGGCGTGTCTAACCTCCGCGACAGGGGGACGACTGCCGAGAGTCTGCGGCGACTGTGGATAAGAGGAGGCGACAGGGGAAAGGGGGGACAGTTGGCGTGCGGGCGGTGGCGGCGTCACAGGCGTTGCGCAACCGGCTGCGGCCCGACGGCGCCGTCATAGAGCGACGTCGACGCTGCAGCAGGACGTCGACGTCGCGACGGCAGAGGCAGCGTCGATGCCGCAGCGGGACGTCGACGCTGCGACTGCAGAACGACGGCCCGACTCCACGGCAGCGCGTCGAGCCGGTCGCGGCACGACGCGGCCAGTGGCAGCGCGACGTCGCCACTGCAGCAAAACGCGGCCGCCATGGCCGCTCGAGCGAATGAGGGTGAGGAGTAAATGGCGGAAGCGTGAGGAGGCGGCCCAGCAGGGAGGATCTCCTGCTCTGATACCATCTCAAAGAAGCTTAGGATAGGAACTAAACTTAGGAACCTAGCTTAGCTAGGAAGGAAGGAAGGACGCCATGGAATGGCGTGAGGCAAGTAGATCTAGGAGTAGGAGAAAAGTTGACGAGAAAGAAGGGTTGGACTAGGAAGAGAGAGAGGTACAAGGAGGAGATTGTACCCTCTACAGAAAGGTTCAGTAACACTACCAAGCCTATCAATTATATAACTCAATATAATTTTAACAACAACACCCTACTCTCGGACGTGAAAACATTTGAACACCCCCCTGCCACTAGAATCTCCATTTCTAGCAGGAAACGCCAGAATTTCGTGTTGCGTCGTTCCGCGGCTCAATCGCAAAAAAAAACTGCTCGCGCCGAAAATTTACTGTACAGATTCCCGCGTGTCGGAAACAATGTCGCCTGAACAAAGGTTTTGAAACATGCCCATGAATCTCGACAGGCTGAACCTGACGTTGCACCTTACGGAACAGCACAAAAACATTTCGCGTCAGAATTCGCGACACTGTAGCTCGCGAGCCTGGGAAGGTTCCCTGCGAAGAGGCTACGCTCTTAGGTAGGAGACGAATCTGCCCGAACGAAAAAAAAATCGACGAAAACAAATCCGAAAGTTTGAGACTGTACTCGACTTTCGCGCGTCCCGCCAAATTAAACGTGTGCTCATTGGTTGTTCTGACAGCATCCTCCTTGACACTGCATGCTCACAGCCAATGTGGCATGCAGATCGGGAATATCGTCCAGTATGCAATGAGATGACCAAAAGTGGGTATCTGACTCAAATGAATGTGGTGAAACAGGCACACTTGAATTCCAATTATAAAAACCATATGCACATTCCATAACTCCTGGGTGTTTTATTTTTTTGGCCTTTAATTACACCCAGCCCAAAATTTTGCTGCATTTTTATTAACACCATAGGGTGCTTTATACGGGGGATTACGGTAATTATGAAATCGCGTGAGGTCGCATCCACGCTGTCGAAAACCTCGGGCCCCTAGCTGTCCTCTGACTCAGAAGCTGCCACGCCGTTGTCTCTTAGCAGGGTGTCGGCACTCCAGCCAGGCACAGCGCAGGACTCAGTGTGGCGGTATTATGTCAGGGCGTTGTCCCTTAGCGTATTGTCGGCGCCCGTGACAGCATTGAGCAAAATGATCCTGGCAGCATTGCGCCAGCACATTTTGTCCTCGGCAGGCAAAGATGCAAGGACATGAGTGATGCATTGCCGGCTGCGTCCCACACCATGCGTCGAGGCGCACGAACGAAGGCGCTTGGAGGGAGATGAAAGTCCCCCCAGTTTGCCCCCCTAACCCATCATTCCTCCTTTCAAGCGTTCATGCATAGCACAAGCAGCAACAGCTCCCTATGGCTAGCTGCACGACTCTAAGCGTGTAGTTTATGCTCCTCTGCGGCTGTTTCTGGCTTGCGCGATCGTGAGACAGGCCCCATGACAACAGACGCTGCTGGGGTCAGCGCCCCATCAGCCATACCTAGTTCTTCGCGACAGCCCTCGACTGCTGCTCCGTCGATCTCGGCGCTGTATCTTCTAGGCCGCAAAACGTGCAGCCAGTTTGCTGCTTCCCCTGTGCTGTCTGCGGTTCCTTCCTGCCCGGAGCCCGCTAGTTTGGCGCCGTCGGTCATTCCACAGACCATGACGGCGGCTAGAGTGGAGCCCGCTACAGCGCCACCCGCGGTAGCGCCTCCTAGTCCACCGCCCGCATTGTCGCCGTCTACCATGACGCCACATAGTCCCTCGACTGCTGCTGTGGCGCCTACTGCTGCGCCTCCTAATCCCCATCCCGTTGCTTCACCTCCTACCGTGCTGCCTGCTTCGCCCCTAATTGCATCTCAGCCTGCCGTGGTTCTTTCGATTCCATCCTCCGAGGCTACACCCAGCACCCCGCGCTTCGACGGCTTGCTGCCAGAAGTAGACGTTGAAGAGTGTGTCCGCAGCCCGCTCCCCCCATCCTCTCCTCGCGTCGCTAGCCCGTCGACTGCTGGTGCACCGGCCCCTCTCTTCTCTGCTGGCCCTGTCTTACCCACCAGGTACCCTGGGAAGACGAAGTACAAGCAGCGCAAGCTGACATTCGGGAGGCCGCGATCACCCACCTCCACGCCAACTACTCCACCTGCCGCGCTCACGTCAGATGCTGGACTGTCGACCCCTGATTCACTGGACGACATTGTGGACGACGGTCCATGGCCGCTGACACTGGAGGAGCTGCAGCTGAAGTGCAGTGAGCAATGGCAACGTCACTTCCCCTGGCTGTTCATCTCGGAGACGAAGGAAGGTCGTCCGTGCATGAAGTGCACCATCTGCATCACGCACGGAGAGCCAACGAACCAGTATGGGCGCTATGGGGAGGGCGGCATCGACATTCAGAAGCAGACCATGCGGAAGCACGATCACAGCATCAAGCATGAGGCAGCGATGGCGGCAAAGGCGCATCAGGATGGCAAGATGAAGAAACAGAGGAGTATTGTGGAATTTGAGAACGGGGATGAGGACGCACGACGTTTGAAGAGGCTCTTTGCCATTGTGCACTTTATCTGCAAATCTGACGCCCCCATCGCCCTGTTTGTTTCGTTGGTTCAATTCATGGCAGAGCAGGGGACTCCGGACATGGCCCTGAAGGAGAACGGCACGTATTATTCAGAGTGAGTGTAGTCGAATGACACACCCTCTCACCATGACTTATGTTATTGTCCGGCTTGGCTGTCGTTTTTAAGCTTCAAAATACACGACTGACTTGTCTGTTTAACTCTGCAGGTACGGTTTCGCCCAGCTAGTCGAAATCATGGTGGCCTACTTGCGCGCAAAGCAGTTGAAGCACATCCTGGCAAGCCCGTACCTCGGCATTCAGCTCGACGAGAGTACGGACAGGCGGCGGGGGAAGCTTCTCATCGTCTACTTGACTTTCCAACGGGATGAGGAGGTCGTCACCGAGTTTTATGCGCACCTCACAGTGGACAAATGCGATGCGGCTTCGCTGCAAGCTATCCTCCTCACGCATCTCGAGGCAACCGGCGTGGACCTCCAGAAGATCTGCGGCATCAGCACGGACGGCGCGAGCGTCATGACGGGCGCTTCGACCGGGCTGGTGGCACGGCTGCGATCCCGCATCCTGCACCTAGTCTCTTGCCACTGTGTTACACATAGGTAAGGGCAGTATTATGAGGCACCAAATTAAAAGCACATGCTTACCTTGTGTGCAGGGAAGCTCTTGCTGCCAAGGATGCGGCAGCTGACTTTCCCGACCTTGCCACTGTTGACAAGGTCGTGAAGTCACTTGCAGAGGTCCTTGGCAGGTCTATTGTCTTGCATTCACGTTTCAAGCAGCTCCAGGATGTCATCTCAGAGACGAACCTGGAGTTGCAGGGAATCCACAACATCAGATGGTTATCCCGAGGTGAGGCCATCCAGAGGCTAGTCGAGGTATTCCCTGCCGCCATCATACTCCTGTCGGAGCATGACCGGCAGGCGTACACCATGGTAATTAGCTTGAAATTCCATTTCCTACTCTACTTCCTTGCCGATGTCCTCAACGAGCTCAACCTGCTCAACTTGAAGTTTCAGCGCCGCCAGGTAAATGCTACTGCTGGCGGATGTGCGGCTTTATAAATGACTCATTTCTAATATCTCTCTGTTTTTCCTTCAGGTCGACGTTAGCCACGTTTGCCAAATGGTGGACAACACCAAGCTAACTCTGCGCAGCCGCTACGTCAACTATGGCGAGGCCTTTGGTCGTGGCAACACAGCCCTAGTGGAGTTCATCAAGAAGCACTCA